TAACTGGGTCTAAGGTTTGCACCCAATACTGCTGTGCTCTGGACTTCATAGACATTCAGATATTTGAGTGAAGAAAAGTGATTTGTCTGTAAAGGATTTTGATCATACTTGGAGTTGAAAGTTGGGTTCCTAAGGTTGATAGCTGGATTTCCTAAATTACTAAGAGTGTAATTTATTACTTTAAAACTTCTGCATGTTGTTTTTTAAAATCAGTAGACTGTTCCCAAGGGATGATGAGAAGCAGTAACAAACCAGGGAGGCTTATTGCTTGGTGGTGGGGGTAATATGGCCTGAATTTGCAGCACAGACCCTGAGTTCGGGTGCCTGTTCTGAACTGGGCTTTGGGGAGGAGGACCGGTCTGCACAGAACCTGTGACCTTTAGTTCTGTTGACTAGTTTCCTGTTCTGCCTTCGCCAGCTGCCCGTCCACATGCTTCTGTGTGAACAGTGTAGCCTCAAGCATTGTTCACTTCTACCATCAACACTGTAGAATTTTTATCAAGCCCTTCGGTTGCCATCAGTACTTATGAAGTGCTTTATGATCAATTTTAAAGTCTTTATAAAGGTTCGAAATATTTTTAAAATAACAGACAAGAAAACTAAGGCACAGAGGTCCCACACCAAGCCAGCTAATGTGTCAAATGCATCTGTTCTCCCCATGTGTTATTAGAACCTGTTTTAGAAAGTATTTTCATGCAACGCAGTTTTATCTGTTCAGATAATAGTATTGTGTCCACCCCCCCCCCTATTTTAAATCTAATGTCAAATCTAATCTCATAGGAATTTGAGCTCAGAGTTTTCTGACATTTGACTCATAATTGTTAGGTGGGTGGTAGGGTTGTATCCTTTTATTATATACGTATGCTCTGCAGGGTTTGTCTTACTCACCCTTGTCTCCAGTTTCTGACACACAGGGTACACTTCATAAGTGTTAGTATGAAGAAATTGAAATGTACCTAGATGGCCCTAACCCTCCTGCTCCATGAAAAGCTAAAAATCACTTAAGTCCTAGGACTGGCTAGATCAGGTAAGATAGTGTTCATGGCTGTTTTGTATTGTCTGTGCTCTGGAATTACATTACCAGTTAGCTGTTGGATGCTTTCAGTTAGTGATTAGCTAGCTCTTCAAATATTGCTTGCCTAAAATGGGATTCTTTTTGTCTTTCCCAAAGCCAGAGCAGACTCCTTATCCTATTGCATTTTTATCAATGCCCCATCATGTTATATTAGGGTTCACCTGGACAACAACCTGTGTCCTTATCAAGGGACTCGTTGCCCTTTTACTCAATAAGAAGTCAGAGCTGACTCATCTTTTCAGTCCTCCCTCTAGCGCCTTCCCTAAGTTTTCATGCAAGTTTTAAAAATCACTGTAGCTTTTTGCTTTTTTACATGTGTGTGTATATATACACACATATATACGCGTATATATAGTTATATATGATTCGTATATAGTAAGTTAAATGTTGAATAAATGAATATAAAGTAGGGGTTTTTAATTATAATTCATCCTTTGTGTTCTGACAGTCTTCCAAATGTTTATACTAAATCTCTATATATTTAGTATACAGTCCCAAAGAGTGTCTTACTGGAACTATTAGGTTTTATGGTTGTGGAGATAAGAATAATGAAGTGGTATTGCAAAGGATATTGAAATGCAAGGTAAATCACATTGACCTGGGGAAGTAGGAATAAGTGGGATACAATTCACTAGTAAACCTGTCTTTCTGGTGTTCTTAGAACCGAATGCAGGACATCTTGTTGGGAAGTAGAATTCTGAATTATTAAACTTAAAAATTTTAGTCATTTAAGAACCTTCATTGCTTAGTTCTTCTGTTTTAGAAAAATATCATTTTAGATAATGATATTATTCATTATCAAATATTTAAGATTGCTGGAATTTATCTCAGGGAAGGTGTGAGATTTCCTTATGATATTCTAGCAATGTAGAGATAGAAAATGAAATTGCTTTCCAAGACATTTTTAAATGATATTTCCCTGGAAAAGAGGATGACTGAACAGATCTTTGTTATGAGAGGACTTTTTGTTTTTAAATGTCCCTTAAAAAAGAAACAACACCCTCTGTAAAAATTTTTTTCTCCTGAGTTTTCCATATTTCCAACGTTTTATTTTGAAAAATTTCAAGCCTCCAGTAAAATTGAAAGAATGACACAGTGAACACTTGACAAACTCACAAGTTGTTAACATTTTGCCACGTTTTCTTTATCTCTCTCTATGTATATCTGTACACATACACTTTATGCCAGGCCATTTGAAAATAAATATTGGATATCTTGACAATTTACTGCTGAATATTTTAAGTCTCTCCTGAGAACAGAGGCATTCTACTACTACTGACTGCTGCAATATTATTATCACTTCTAAGGAATTTAACATTAATAAAATAGTATCTGTGCACACGATATTCACTTTTCCCCACCTGTCCTAGTGAATTCTGTTATAGCTGTTTGCTCATTCTAGGACGCAAAGATTGTACATATCATTTAGTTGCCGTGTTTCCTCCGTCCCCTGCCATTTTTGCCTTTCATGACCTTGGCATAGTGAAAGAATCCATGCCAAAATCAGGAGGCACATAATATAAGTTTGTCCCATTATTGACCATACTGAGTTCAGTCACCTGGTTAAGATGATGACTGCCAGGTTTCTCCATTTGAGATTAATAATAATCCATGGCTGCCTCATGGGATTGGTTTCCTGGGTTTGAAGAATTAGGACCATAGTCTTGGGACATCTTGGTCATTTGACATAATATAGTTCATAAAGTTTATGTTCTTCATCCTAGTTTGGTGAGAGGTGTCTAGGGTCTTAAATGCGTGCGAGTGGCCATCTAAGATACAGCTATTGGTCTCTCCTCATCCAGAGCAAAAGAAAAAGGAGGAAACCAAAGACTCAAGGAAGAAACTAGTCTACAGGGCAAATAGTCTACACAAACCGCAGCCTCATCGACCCTGAGACCAGAAGAACCAGATGGTGCCTGGCTATCACTACGAACCATTCTGATTAGGGCCACAATAAATAGATGGACCCTGATAGAATGGGAGAAAAGTGGGGGACAGAACCTCAAATTCCTTTTTTACAAAACCGACTTACTGGACTGGGTGAGACTGGAGGACTCCCGGAAACTTATGCCCTGAGTGAAATACTCTTTAAAGGGAGCCAAAACTAAGCCCCTGAGGTCACCTTGTAGCTAAATAACAGATTGGCTCACAAAATAGAGTATCAGCCATGAATACTGTGCTCCTTTGAAAAATTATCTCCGTGAGGCCAAATGGTCAACAATTACTTGAAAACAAAGATGAGAATATAAGCGGGCAGGGAAACTAGATTAATGGAAACAACAACCAGAAGGGAAATAATGAGAATGTTCACGCATTGTGAAGAATATAGCCAATGTCACTGAACAAGTTGTGTAGAAATTGTTGAATGGGAACCTAAACTGTGTAAACCTTCACCGAAAACACAGTGAAATACTATTTAAATATATATATATAATCTGTGGGTGAGGTCATGTGGGTATCTTGTTCCCCAAAAATCTTTCAGTCAGTGGTTTTAGCATCCATTGATGAGCCTTGCCTGAATTAGTCACTATGTTGGTGGTTGTAGGTAGTGATTTTCTAATTACACGAGTCTTTCTGCATTTATTAGCTGACATTCAGCTAATGTAAAAAAGAGCTTCCTTTCTCATTTATGTTTTCAGTATCAGTATATTTTTAACCTCAGGCTGTAGATGAGGTGATGGTGGTAATTGCTACTGTACACATGTAAACTGTCAGGCATTTCAATAACTCAAGGTCTGTGTTAGTATTAACCCAGTTTTTTTCCCAGTTGCCATCAAGTGGATTCTGACTCGTGACAACCCCGTGTGCGTGTCAGAGTAGATCTGTGCTCCGTAGGTTTTTTAGTGACTGGTTTTTCCAAGCTTTTCTTCTGAGGCACCTCTGGGTGGACTCAAACAGCCAACCTTTTGGTTAGCAGCCGAGCACTGTAACTGCACCACCCAGTGACTGCAAGCTTAGAGATGAGTAACTCCTCAAGGTTATGTGGCTAGGAAGTGGCAGAGCTGGACTTTAAACTAGTACCTCTGCACATTAATACTGGTGTGGTAGTCAGAGTCCTGCCTTTACCACTTTTAGCTATGTGACTGCTGACAAAGAAATAACTCTTACAGTTTAGGAATGACATTGAAGTGTAAATGGGTTAGTAATATGTACCATACATTTTAAGGACCCAGTGAAGTAGTCCATGAAGAGTATTATCTAAATGGTACTTGCTGCACAAAATCTAAAGTGTTAATTAGAGCATTCTTATTATCCATAATCAGACAATAGAGAAAAACAGTTGGACTATGAGTGTGTTTAACTCCAGCGGCTTCAGTAATCCCTCCTGTGCATACCGTGAGAGTCCGCAGGACTGCCTTTTTCTCCCGGATCACGCAGATTTCCGCCTCTGACAGGGTGCAGTCTTACCACTTTTTTGTCACTCTTATTAGTGGAAAATATTTGAGTTTTCCTTCTCTGGCAGGTTTCCACCTTAGACGAGTACTGACTTTCGCAGGTTTTATCATATAATGCATTCCTTCAGGACAGTCCACTTCTGTATATTATTGGGTGTGAGGGAGGGTATTTGCTCAGGTTTTAGGGTATTAACACTTTGCAGGTACTAATCCTAAATGAATAGGAAGGAACTAGTTGTCTTAGGATATATTATGTTTGAATTTGATTTTGCAGAGAAGAAGTTAATTTACATACTTTCTGCATTTCAGTGGACATTTCTTTTACCATTTTTCGTAAATGATACTTCATAACACTCTTTGTAATTTCCAAAAATGTTACTGTACATGACTGGGTAATGAATTAAAGCTGAACGTTTCACCTGTGATGCTGGTGCTGGCTGATGGGGCTGACTGGAACGTGGGCTTTCTTGTCCCCTGCGCTGGGCCATGAGTACACCACAGACCTGAATCCTGTCTGTCTGTCCTCTCAGGTCTCGCGGCAGTGCTGGTGGCCATGGTTCCCGTAGCCAGAAGGAGCTGCCCACAGAGCCCCCCTACACAGCATATGTAGGAAATCTACCTTTTAATACGGTTCAGGGCGACATAGATGCTATCTTTAAGGATCTCAGCATAAGGAGTGTACGGCTAGTCAGAGACAAAGACACAGACAAATTTAAAGGTGAGTTTGGGGGAAATCTTATTATGTATTACTGTAAAGGTGGGTCTGAGAGCCAGAATATATTAGTGAATCAGAGGACTCGCATCATGAATGCATTGTAAATATTTGCCTGGTCTGAGGAGCTGAAATGAGCATAGGTCTTTAACTCCTAGATCTCCAGTTTCACTTGGGCAAAAAATGTTTAACAGATACCTAGTTTGTAGAAATATGTGGCATATGCCCAGGTAAGTACTGCTGTATGCCTAGCCTGTATAGCAGTCCCATCTCTGCCAGTAAAAGAGACAAATAAAACTGAGGACTTTCAAAGAGGTGTTTTACTTTGGCAGACAACGAGATTTTTCTTGATAGTTTTCCTGTTACCTAGCTGTTTATTATAAAATCCAGAAGATAATCTAGTAAGTGTTGTCACTATGTACTCGTGACTTCAAAGCATGTGTTTCTGGGGTGGGTGGATCAGATTACAGGTACGGTTACAGAGTGTCTGTAGATGGCCTCGTTAGGGCACTTGAGCAGGAGAGGAGTGAGAATGAAGGCTCAGATGAACATTATCTTCCCGCTTCCAAGGTTTCCTTAAGGGAAATGTGTCCAGTATTTAAGTGCGTGCTGCAAGGCATAAGGACGTTGGGTTTCCATTATTCTCCCAGAGTACATCTGTGGAAAGTACAGAGTAACTTCTGGCAGGGGTGCCCAAGAAGTAGAGACTGTCTTGCTGACCTGAGTGGTTTTGTGTGTAGGTGGTAGGTACTCTTATCTTTCTGAGAGCTTTTTTACTTTAGAACCTGAGGCCGTGAACAGTACGTGAGCAGTGTGTCAGCTAAGCTTCTGAAAGCAGACATGTGAGTGGACCAGCCCTTGGGCTGGATTTGTAGCAGCAGGTTTAGAGTTGGTCTCCGAGACGATCGTCGTCAGTCCCAGCAGCCGTAGAGTTTGGCGGTCGTTCTTTGTGAAGTACTTGTTAAGCAGATGGTGAACAAGAATAATTTGGTCCCAAGCCGTCAGAGCAGTTACGATCTACTGGGCCTTGAAGATAAAATGTAATTATGACATAGGCTGATGAACGCTCTGGTTGGGGGCGGTGGGTACAGGGTGCAGTGCAAGCATATGGGGGCAGGGGGGTGGTGCTTAATCCAGATTAGAGTCCAGACAGGAGGACGGGACTTCAAAACTGAGGTTTGAGGCTAAATAGAAAATGGGTAAGAGAGGCAGGGACATGGACACGAGTGTTCCAGGTAGAGGGAACAGCTTGTTCTGAGCTTAGAGATGAGAGAGAAGGGGCAGAGCTGTGCCTAGAATTCTCTCCTCCCTCCTCTGCTTCCAAGCTCCGTCAGAATCCAGTATTGGGAAGATGGGTTATTGGTGACACCTGCGTCTGTCTTTTAATAACATCTGGAGGAGGTTGCCCTTGTTTCCTAGGGTCTGTTTTTTAGCTTTGTAAAGCAACTCTTAAATCTACTACCTGAATATTAATAGGCACCTTCAGACTCTTCCTTCAGAGCACTTTAGGTACTGAATTTGACGTTTGTGTCTTAAGGCTCCAGTTAGGTTCGATTAGAGAAAGTCATTCGGAAGTCGGAACTGAGAGCTCTGCAGTGGCCCAAGAAAGGTTTTTGCTGTTATGGTAAACACATAAAGAAGAAAAAGCTTTATAAAAATATAACTGCCATTTCAGTGCCTATTTGTTTAGCACTTTCTCACTGAAGTTCTATTTACTGAAAAGTAAAGTATGTTTTTACAGACTCAAAAATGGTAGTTCTGATGTGGGGAAAATAGTATGGATAGTTATCCCACCATGTCCTTAACCCAGAAGTACTTGAGTTGGGGCTTTCTTTTCTCTCTTCCAGGATTCTGCTATGTAGAGTTTGATGAGGTGGATTCCCTTAAGGAAGCGTTGACATACGACGGTGCAGTAAGTATCTTCAGGCTTTTTCAGTCATGATAGCAGTTGAGATGTTTTTTCTTGCCATTACTTACACTGTTTTCCCCTTATTAGCTGTTGGGTGATCGGTCACTTCGTGTGGACATTGCAGAAGGCAGAAAACAAGATAAAGGTGGCTTTGGATTCAGGAAAGGTGGACCAGATGACAGAGGTGATTGGTACTTCTAAAACTGAACATATAAACTTGCTGTATGCCCACAGATTACAACTCTTGAAAGTTACTAGTAGAACTCTCCCTCATACATCTGATAGGTTTTTGTGAGCTTTTAAAAATATGTATAAAATCCTAGAAAGAATGGATGATGCTTCTGCAGGCCTGGTATTTTTTTTCTCTCTTGACAGCAAAAACTCTTTTAAAATGATTTCATTGACTTCCCATCACATGACTTGTACATCTTCCAAGTGAATTTTTCCATGTTTGTGCAGCAGGGTAATGATACGACCTCAACTTTATCTTTTTTGTGTATCCTCAGGAATGGGTGGCTCTCGAGAATCTAGAGGTGGATGGGATTCCCGGGATGACTTCAATTCCGGTATCAGTATTTACAGTATCACCACATACCTTTTTTCCAGTGGCCTTGCTGCTGTTGCACAATTCTTGTGAGTAGCCCGCTTGGCCGGACTACTTCTCTAGTTCCTTTCACAAGTAAAACTTTCCTAAATGGTACCCAGGCATGCAAGTAAGCCTCTGTTAGACCCTCACTGTTTTGAGTAGGACCTGAAAGTTACCCCTGGGCAAGTAGGACTGATCCACCTCGTCTCGTTACCGTGCCTTGGCCTGCTGCTTCTCTTCTGTTTGTTGCCTTTCTCTCATTCAGAGTCCTCCTCAGGACCAAGGCTGGGGAGATTCCTTGGTGGGGGTTTTGTTACTGCACAAATAGAAGGACCTGTACTTCTAGTAATAGTACAGAGGTTCTAGAAACTTACAGAAAGCCTCATAACTGGTTCCTGGTGACTCCTGAGATGGTAAAGGTAGTCCTGATGGCCTGTTTTTTTCTCAAAGATAGTAGACTTGAATCCCATAATGGCAAACATGATCTTCTTTACCATTTCTTTTCTTAACCAGCCAAGACTGACCCAGGTGCCTCCATGGCTCACTCAAGAGGTCAGTTTGCACATCAGGCCTCTACTTTGAAGGGTTGATCTCCTAAGAACTTGTTAACCTCTAATGTATATATTTTTTAATTATAAAAGTAATTTGTATACATGGCAAAAATATCAGATATTACAGAAAGATAGAAAATGAAAAAAAATCAGTTTCTTTCCCACAAACTTGATTCTCTCTGCAATCACTACAATATAAGATAAGAATGTCAGGATCCCCTCTGTCCTACAATCCCTCCCCCCACCCCCACCCCCGAGTCAGAACAAAATTCAGTGTAAAGTAATTGGTAAGTCTGAGAAAGGCTGCTGCAAGGCATCTTGTGAGTCTAAAATTTTTTAAAAATTCATTTCCAGTACTGCTTTAGTTAAGCAGATGACTAATTATCTGTTCAATAATTTTATTCTTAAAAGTCCTATAGCCAATCAGAAATGAGCTTATTCATAAAAGTACAGCATAATCCAGTAAACCTGTAATTTTATTTATAAGCTAGTCTCTGCTTGAAACATACAACAAACAAATGTCTTCTCAGAGCCAACCCCAGTGCAGTAGCGGATCAGTGAGTATTGGTCTCTGACCCAGCAGTCTCGTGTTCCTTGGTGGTGTAGAAACCACATGGTAAGCTCCCAGGTCAGGAGCTGTGGAAGTTAACCTTGGTGGCTAAGGCCTTTCTACTTTGGCTTAGTTTGGGCTTGGGTTCTCGAGCAGAGACAGACAGTGAACGTAGCCACGGAGACTACCTTGCAACCCATCTGTTAAAATGTGAACTTCAGTGTTTTGGTGACATTTAAAACCAAAAGTGTTCACTTCTAAGTAATGTCTAATTTGATGTCTTATACATTATTTGTGAAAATAGATCTTTTTCCCTCTTTAGAAGAATGGTACTAATTTTTAAAATGACACATGCTTGTTAAAAAAAAAAAAATTCAAGCAATGCAGGAAAGTACAAAGAAAGCAGATTTAAAAATCCTACCACCAGTGTGTTAAACTAAACTTTGTAGCAGAAACTGAGAAGATTTTCATCAATACTGGGCTTCTTAGAAGCTATCAAAAGACTTGATTAAAGATACTTGTTAATGTCATACCTTGCTTTCCCTGCATAATCTCCCTGGTAATGGTATCATAAGCGATTTTGAAATGAGGCTGTCACTTGATATTAATGTCCACTGATTTTTTTCCCTCTGTGGTACTTTGTCTTGCTTGCCATTGTGGGCGTGAGCTTTTATCTGTTTTATGCTAAACTTTGGTAGTGAAAGTTTGCTTAATCTCATATTAAAAGGGAGTATCTGTACTTCATACTCACGTGGAAAGTTACCCTTCATAGTTCAGAATAGTTTGGGGAAATATCAGGTTAAATGTTTCAATCTTAACTTTGTTTAATGAACTGTATAAGGTCTGGTTGTTAAAGAGACTTCGTGAAGAATCTGATACTTGATTATATGCATCCAAATGCTTTTTCATCCAAAGCAGTGCTCCGGTTGGTCCAGATCTTTTTAGAATTATTTTCACTACTTGTTTTGTTAAAATTGATACTTGTTCAGCTCAGTCTCTGAACTGGGTTCCAGATAACTTGAGCTATTTCCAAATACCTTACCACCCTTCAAGACCAGCAGTGTTCCTCGTGTTGGAGGGTCTTCTCAGAGGTGAGGTCCTAAAAACTGTTGCGCATTGGCTCCATCCTGGGAGTAAGTGAAAGTAGTCATCTTTGAGAATTAAAAAAAAGGAGGAAGCTTGTTTGTTCAGTTACCATCTTTATTTCTTAAAGCTGGTTTTACTGAAAGCTCACTCTAACTTTCATAGGCTGTCGTGTTAAAAAGTTTGTTAGCTTGACACCCTCCCCCCAGGAAAGACTTTCACTTAAATACAAAACTAAAGCCTAAGCTTCTTAAAATCCGTGAGGAAATATTCTTCCTTCACCACACTGATGAGAATTGCAACTTACCCTTAACAGTTCTCAATGAAATGCAGTTTGTTTCTTTTATGGTTGTTTGAGCAGATGTGCAAGCGAGTGGAGAAGGTAGAAACCCTTTGCACAGAGAGGAGGCGCAGGTTGGGTCTGAGGCGCTCTTGCTCTCAGCACGCGCCGTCTGGAGGCAGTGGGCCTTACTTGGATAACTGCTTTGTTTACCACACAGGTGCTTTGATTTTAGAATGATCCACATCCGAAAAGCAGCAGGAACAGGAAAATGGGGAGTGTCACCCAGAGGTGACTTCGTTTTTTTATTTTGTCTTCATAGCTAACTTTTCTTGTGATTTTGTGTTCTAAATTGTAAATGCTTCTAAATTTCAGGTTTATCTTTTTCATTGACTAGATTTATGTTAGAAAACAGAATAAAGCCTGCTTTGAGGATTCGTTTTGTTTTGTTTGATGCTGTATTAGAACATCACTCTCGTAGTATTTTTCACTTCCACTGCAAGCTAAGAATTTCAACAACAGCTCATTTTATTTTTCTCTCCTAAGATTCTGATTCTTTTTTGCTTAAAGAGCCTGTTAGTGTTGTAATTGTCCAGCAGGTTCACATTTGGACTCATTTTCGGTGTATTTTCTTTGTTTTGGAAAAACTTCAGACTTTGGACAAGCTAACGAATTTGAAAATTAAACTCAAACAATTCTCAAAATACTGTGTAACCAGCTTGAGACAATAGTTTAAAAATAATTCGGTGTCATCTTCCTTCTTCAGGTTTCAGGGATGACTTCTTAGGAGGCAGGGGAGGGAGTCGCCCCGGTGACCGGCGGACAGGCCCTCCAATGGGAAGTCGTTTTCGAGATGGCCCTCCCCTTCGTGGATCCAATATGGATTTCAGAGAACCAACAGAAGGTATGGCAATAACTTGGAAACAGGGCCTCTTACATTGTAACATTGACTTCACCCCACAGAAGTAATTTGCCTTCAGGTACTAGACAGCTTTTACAGTAGACGGTCCTCTTCATCATAAGTGGAACATCGTCTACCTTTCGTCCAATACCTGCTGTTGGAATAGTCATTCCTCAAGGCTGTTAATTTTAGAAGTTGGCCTGGGTTGTTGAGATCAACCTCTTTGATCATTCTGCCTGGGTAGGGAGTGGGATCCATTCTTTACAAACCTTGTTTTTTCTCCCCCAGAGGAAAGAGCACAGAGACCACGGCTTCAGCTTAAACCTCGAACAGTCGCAACACCCCTCAATCAAGTAGCCAATCCCAACTCTGCTATCTTCGGGGGAGCCAGGCCCAGAGAGGAAGTCGTTCACAAAGAGCAAGAATGAGATTGCGGTTGGGAGGGAATGGGGTGTGGGGAGAGTTAGAGCGAGACAACAGCCTGGTCAGCCCCCTGGACCGGCGGCCCTGCAGTTACCGTTCCTGCGCCTGACGTTTGTCGTCCTTTCTTACAGCGGAGACACAGAGCTTGTGAATGCATGTCAGCCGTTAACAAGTGGTTTTTAGTACATTCTTGGCTTTGCTGTATCTATCTGGTGCCTGTTTTGTGCCTTTTTTTTTTTTTTTTTCCCTACCACCTCTTGCCCATTTTTCCTTCTGTCCTTTTTTCTTCTTGCTCCTTTTTTTCCTCACAGCACATGGCTTTCTGTAGAGGAGTTAGGCAGCCACATGTGGGAGGAGCTCTTTGGGTTGAAGTGCTGCTTCATCTGTCTCCTTTGCGTTCTCTCTCTTACTTTAGACACACTGGCCAGACTCCAGTCGTCCCCTTTGGTTTTCCTCACTGCTTCTCTTCTGACCTGCATGTGGAGTTTTGTATTGCTGTGGCTTCCAAGAAAAAAAGTTAGAAAAGAAGTCACTGACAAATTGAATGGCATCTTGGTTTTGTTCAGATCAACATAGAGAATTTGAGGCACCTTGTTTTCAAAACAAGAAAAAAAATCTGTTGATGCCTCGCAGATTCCTGCCTGTCCGCATTTCTAGGTGGTCCTATCTCCACTGCCCCTCCCCAAATGGATTATTGAAGCAGAATAGACTCACGTTTCAAAAGGCGAAACCTGAAAGAAGAGTGTTGTGAGGTGCTGGTGGGCATTCACGTGGAAGATGGGTTGATTGTGCTCATGGGCTGATGTTTTCTTTATGGGAGCCCTTTCAGGACCACGGTCCAGGCTAGTGACTCTTACCCTGGGCGTGTTGGAGGGCTCCTTCCTCTGGCTAGATGTAGCAGACTGCCTTCTTGTTCCGTTTCTGCTGGGATGAGGCGCTGTGGGGATCGGGGGGTGGTGGTAGAGCTGTGCCAGGCTGACTTTAAAATGCTGACATTGCTTTCCCAAATCCACGTTGTCCGTGTATTTTGCATCTGTCCCTGTGTTTTTAATCTCTTCCCCGGTATAAGTAACGTAATGAGAGATGTACGTCCCACCATCCCTTAAATTTGTAGTAAAAATGGGCGTAGATTCTGGCACTTTACTCTATTTCACTTGATGAATTGAAAATTTTACTATGCAGAACTATCAAGAATCTTAAAATAGCTTCCAGGTAGCTATAAATAACTAGTCTTGCTCCTCGTCTTCGGGACAGAGTTCATTATTCCCATGTATAGTGTTCAGCACTTACCTGTGGGTAGGGGGTCAGGCAGTCAGTTTTGAGCTTGAATACCTATGTGTGAACAACATAAACATTCTTTAAGCCCCAAGTCCCAGCCTGTCCCATTGGGAGCAGTTCAGGGTCAGCCAGCAGCTAGAGTCCTAGGGCAAGAGACCCTGGCCAGCATAGTGGGGAGCTGAATGGCAGCCTGGCCTGTGCAGTGTAGTGTGCTTAGGGTGGGGAGCTGAGTGGTAGCCTGGCCTGTGGGGTGGAGTGTGCTTAGGGTGGGGAGCTGAGCGGCAGCCTGGCCCGTGGGGTGGAGTGTGCTTATGTGGCAGCATACCGCTCACTTTCCAGCCTCGGCTTCTGCTGTGTCTTTGTTACAAGGTCTTGGCAGTTTACAGAACTCTCCTTCCTTGCCGTCCTCCTACCTGTCTTCTCTGCTTCTGAGATAAGAACCATTTGTGTAACACCAACACTTAATTTAAGAAAGACATGCATTATGTGGTTGTAGTCAAACCTGATGCTTTCAGATGACCTACTTACATCTTCAATGTGGAAAAGATTAAGAACAAAACAAATTCATCTAAACTTTTGGGCAATCCAGTTGACTTTTAAATGTAAGAATGGGATTCCAAACACTTAACACATTCAGCTATATGACAGAAAGTAAATCTATGGATATGGTATTTTGTGAATGATCTTTTAAATAAAAGAAAACCTTACATAATATTTAATGCTTGTCTTTTATTTTTTAGTTCTTTTTCAGCTGCTCATAAAATTAAAGTCAGTTTCAAATTTGGGTAGCAGTGTCCAAATTTAGAAGTGCATGCTGTAATTTAAATGAGAGAAGCATCTTGCTTTTGAAAGTTACAAATTTAGTGAGAGATTATTTCAGAAGCTAGTGATTAGAAATATGGTGCCAATCCCCCCCCCCCCCACGCCCCTTTTCCTATCCAGTAACAGTCTGGCAGTAGTTTTTGGTTAGGTAAATGGATGTAATTTTTTTACATAATATGTACCTGCTTTTAGTAACTGCTTGCCTTAAAGAGATTCTAGGTAGTCTCCATGCCAGGGAGTGGTGCTACCTCACAGCAAACCCGTCGTTTGTTTCTCTGGGATGCTGCTGGGTATTTGCAATCTGGCTTATTTTTCTTATCACTTCTGTAGGCAAAAAAAGGCCAACCAAGTGGGAAAGATGCAGAGTTTGAGGTATGTTTGGGAGAGCGCTGGCCCCATGCAGAACCCGCTCCCCTGAGGCAGGGGTGTCATTGGGTGGGGAGGGGGTGCTATTCCAGTAAGTGCCTGGAGTAGCAGTTTGCTTTGACTGCTCCCTGGCTGAGAGTGTTGTGGAAAGGACTTTTGAAGCCTTCTGGTCTTCCTTTTGAGAGGGGAAATATCTAAGACTAAAAAGCTCTTCTCTTGTAAGCTGGGCTGAGACTTTGTCCTCTGTAGAAGTGTCCTGGGGCTGTCTAGCCAGAGGCTTGAAGTTCAGCTTCATGAGACTTTTCCAAGGATCCATTGGATTCCATCTTTGGAGGGCCTGTGGAATGGTCAAATGTTTAAAAGGGTCCACTAGGTCTACCAGTAATCCAAGGTTTCCTCATGATTGAAATGAAGCTCTTGTGTGCAGCTCTCCCTGTCTCCCCCTATTGTTGCTATTTTAGAATGATTGCTTCTCACAGGCACCTATACCCTTGGGATGTACCATATTTTATGCAAATAACATGTGCCTTCTATGTTTGTTTGCCGGCTGCTCCCTTCTCCCATGAGGTATTTTTGTAAGCACTGCCATGCCTTTTTTTTAATTCTCGATTTATTTAAAAAATTGGTATAGCGGCACTTTGTGGAGGAGGGAGTGACTGGCAAACAGACATAGAAGGCACATGTTATTTGTGTAAAAATACAGTAAATATTTACAGAATGCCTTTTTAGTACCTACTTCCCATCTCTAAGTAACTGAATAAAGGGGCATTTATACATCTTCCCCAAATAAGCACCTGAATGAGTAGGGTTGTTTCCATTAGAGTTTGTTCCAACTACATCACTGTTCCAGAGACGGATTGCAACAGGTGGTTAATACCAGGTTTCTCTTTGGCATTCTTGAACTTAACATCAGAGAAACCAAACCAATGTAATGAAGTTCCCTTTTTGTTGTTGTTGAGAATACATGCAGCAAAGCATACACCAGTTCAGCAGTTTCTACATGTACAATTCAGTGACACTGATTACATTCTTCAAGTTGGGCAACCATTCTCACCTTTTCCGAATTGTTCCTCCCCCAGTAACGTAAACTCACTGCCCCCTAGGGTTCCTATCTCATCTTTTGAGTTGCTGTTGTCAGTTTGATCCCATATAGATCGATCTTAAAAGAGCATAATGTTCAAGGCAGTCATTACGAGTTAAACCTAACTACTGTTTGGTTTTAAGACTTCCAGGATATCTTCAGTATAACGTTTAAAGATTATCTTGGGGCAGTAGTTTCAGAGGTTCATCCAGCCTGCATGGCTCCAGAAGGTCTAGAGCTGAGAATTTGAAATTCTGTTCTACATTTTTCCCCTTTTGATCAGGATTCTTCCAAGTGAGGTCCTTTTAATAAGGGCTTAAGTTTCTAAAGAATGTGCTTGCCACTGGGGCCCATTTTGTCATGGACCAGATTGTTTCTCCAAGAGCAGCCTGGCACTGGGTTACTCACTTTTGACAGCATAGTCCTGTGGTAAAGGCATAGTTGGGCTCCAGGTCCAAGGAGGGGGAAGTGTCCACTGCTGACTTCAAGAAACCTGGGTTTCCACTATGATTCAAAAATGTTTTCCTCCTCTTCTTTTTTTTTTTTTCTTGTGCTTTAAGTGAAAGTTTACAGTTCAAGTTAGTCTCTCATATAGAAATTTATACATGCATTGTTATGTGACCCTGGTTGCTCTTCCTATACTGTGATAGCACACTCCTTTCCACCCTGGATTTCCCATGTCCATTCAACCAGCTCCTCACCCTCTCTGTCTTCTCATCTCACCCCTGGACAGGAGCTGCGATTTAGTCACATGTATCTGCTTGAGCTAAGAAGCACACTCTTCACAAGGGCCATTTTATATCCCAGAGTCCAGTCTAATCTTTATCTGAAGAGTTGGCCTCAAGAATGGTTTTAGTTCTGGGCTAACAGAGTTCAGGGGCCATGTCTTCCAGGGTCCCTCCAGTCTCAGTCAAACTATTATTAAGTCTGGTTTTTTTATTAGAATTTGAGTTCTGCAGCCCACTTTTTTCCTTCTCCGTCAGGGACTCTTGTGTTCCTTGTCAGGGTGGTCATTGGTGGTAGCCAGGCACCATCTAGTTCTTCTGGTCTCAGGCTGATGAAGTCTCTGGTTTATGTGGCCCATTCTGTCTGTTGGCCTGATACTTTCCTTGTGTCTTTCGTGTCTTCGTTCTCCTTTACTCCAGGTGGTTTGGAGCAATTGATGCATCTTAGATGGCCGCTTGCAAGCTTTTAAGACCCCAGATACCACTCACCAAAACAAAATGCCTTATTTCTTAATGGAAGCCTTGGTGAACAGAAGGCAAAAAAAAAAAAAGGGAAGAGATCAAGGTGTGTACATCTGCGTGAAGGAGGAGGTTGTTGGAATTGTTATCTAGTGACCCCCTTCCATTTCATGATTCTTAGGGAGTACCCTGGTTTTCTCAATGAAGGAGATTAAGTCTAGGACAAGAAGAGTCCATTTGTTAACTTCAACTTCTGAAGCCACTGTGGCTTGAAGAGACTCACTAGAAACAGCATTTCTTTGCCTTGTGATGAGACAATGCCCTGCAGCCTCTAGAGATTCTTAGACCTGTTTATTCTTGTAACTATTTTTTTAATCTATTTTCACAAGTTATACTTCGAATACTTTTTTATTGTTTTCCCCTCAGTTTTTTCAAATACCAAATGACCCTTGGGGGTTATTTTGGGGACACTGCCACCATAATGGAGCCCTGGTGGCACAGTGGTTAAGAGCTCAGCTGCTGACCAAAAGGTCAGCAGTTCAAATTCACCATCCACTCCTTGGAAACCGTGTGGGTCACTTCTACTCCCCTGTGGAGTTGCTATGCGTTGGAATCGACTTGACGCAGCAGGTCTGGTTTTGGTGTTTCAGGCCACCAGAACGAGATTCACTGTCTGGAATTACAACTGCAGGAGGAGCTGTCAGGGCCCTGTTTGTATCCATTGGGCTGTTTAGTCCAGTGCTGTGTGTTGCAGTAGGGTTGTTAAGGCAGCGCGTTTTCTGTTCAATTGATGTCTTTGTCCCAGTGGAACTTCTCACTGGTGCTCTTTTAGGGAAGTCGAGAGGGGAGACAGAGTGTCATGTCCCGGGCTTCCTAAAGCTCTTCTGCTAGCAGCAGTCCCTGATCCACTTGGAAGATGGCTGTAACCTGCCCCTGCACTCCTGTTGTGTAGGTGGAGAAACAGCCTGAGATGCTGTCACCACCCTCCCCACCCCCAGAAGGGCTCTGCCCAGGCGACTGCCTTTTGCATAGGCTCTTCCTGCTTCCTTGAAGGAGCGGGGGTGGGGGGGTGGCCCTGGTCCCGCCACATCTGTCTCTGGTGAGGCACTCTGCTCTTCCTTTTGTGTTTTCTTGGCCATCTACAATGCTGAAATTGTTCCTTACATGTGAGGTTGACAGGCTGATAAACACCCTCAGCATCTTAGAGTCGTCCCTTGGCGACTTTTTGTCCTGAAAATGAATTAAAACGATGAAGACTATATGCTTAACTATAACCACTACTGTTCTCTTCCCCATCTGTAAGCATGCCATCACTCTGAAAATATTACGTGTACAGATGAAATCATGGCCTTTCGCAGCGGCGGGTTTCTGGTGTTCAGACTGGGCGTTCAGGAGTCTGTATCCTGTACTTGTTCTTGTGTTGACTGTGGGAGATAAGGTAAATGTTCATGAAGTCATACTGGACTAGAAGCTCATGCCGCTGACAGGTTTGGGAGGGAAGGAGACGGAGAACCTTTTCAGATGTCCCAGAGGTTCTGTAGCCAGCACCAAGATTCTTGGAACTGGTAGAAATCTCTCCTACGCATTATGTTCTATTAAAATTAAGACTGTGCTCACTAGCTAACATCTTTATCATGACTTAGAAACAGTGAAAAGACAAGTTACAAACTGAAGAAAGGTAAAAAATACATGAACAATTCTTACAAATCAGAGGAAACACAATGGAAAGTAAGCAAAATATTAAGTTGTTTCATAGAAGAGGAAATACAGCCCAAAAACGATGTTTGGCCTCCTCAGTGATCAGGGAATTATCAATCAAGGCTTCAAAGAAATGAAATACTATTTTACACCATTCAAATGGCAAGAAGCCTGAAAAACCAGTTGGAGAGTTCGTGGATCTCTCACAGATTGATGCACCCTCTTAGGAAAGTAACTTGAAATAGCACCAACTTGAAAGTTGAAGCTTGCAGTACTCTACAATCCAGTGGATCCCCTCCCAGGTATGGGCCCAAGAGAAAAACATCACAGCAGCAAAAACCTGGAACCAGCTTGCTGTCTGCTGACAGCGGTTAAAAATTTATATTCAGATGATGGAATATCATATAGCAGTTTAAAGGAGTGAACTACAGCCCCAGCAATGTGAATGAGTCACGGTGATGTAATAGGTGGAAAAGAAGTCCCAATTGCTTCAGACAGCGTATTTTTTAATAAACACCCTTAGGAATACATGACAAAACAATAGCAGTCACTTAAAGTGGGAG